TAGAATAACTCAAAAAGAAAATAATAAAGGGAAAAAACATGAAGAAAATCAATATATGATTACAGGCATAAAAGAACTAGAACAAAAATTTTTAGAATCTACTAGTGAAAAGTATGATGAATATAAAAAACAGTTAGAAGAATTAACTGAAAAAATGAAAAATATAAAGATGAATACTAATCCATCATCAAGTCGAAATATAAAATTAGAATTTAGTAGTGATGAAAAATATGATTATCCTTATGGTACTACAATACCACTTAAGGATGATATTAATTAATATAGAAAAATACAGAAAAGATACACTAGAAATATAAGAAAACAATCCATAAAAAAAATAAATCCAATAAAATCCTATAATGAACCAATCCACACAACAGGAGTATGGTTAGATCTAAACTGTGTAGACAAAAATAAAACTATTGAAACATGGATAAAAAGTACAGACTTAGCAATACAATTTAATAAATGGGAAACATATACAGTTTTTGAATTTATAGAACATACATTTAGAGGAATTGTTTTTGAATGGTGGAGAAAGTTACCAGAATCTATAAAAGGAAGAATAAAATATGGAGATAATAGAACTGAAGTATTAGATATAAGAATACTTTAAATGATCAAAATATACAGGAGATATTAAAAAGGTTTGAAAAAATTTTAAGAACAGAATTCTTAGAAGATAGATATGCTTTTAATGAAGAAAAAAGAAAACAAGATGAACATAATGAAGGAATGATAGCAATGAAAATTTTAAAGATATGTGATATGTGTGAATTAAAAAGATATACATGTAAATTTGAAAAATTATACTATATATTAAACCAATGAGATTATTAAGAAAATAAATTTATATTAAGGTCTTATTTTATTAAGTTACAATTCCCATGGGGAATTAAGTTATTAAAAGAATATGAAAAATTATTACCTCTAGGAGAAGAGGAAGGAGTAAAAATAGATAGTTTTGGAAGTAAAATTGAATTTACAAAAAGAATAATAAGCATGTGGTGTAAAGAAGCTCTTGAAAGTAAAAAAACATATAAAATAAGAAAAAATTCCTTATGCTATTACAAAGATATAGACCAAGTTGAACAATTTGGATGCTATAAGAAAAAATACAAACCATATAAGAAATATAAAAGAAAATTCAAAAACTACAAAAAATTTAAGAAAATGAATTTTAAACCACGCAAAAAATATTTCAAGAAAAAAATTGGAATAAAAAACCTAAACTAAGAAATATTAAAAAATGTAGATATTTTATTTGTAATGAAGAATGACACATTGCCCCTCAATGTCCTAAAAAAGAAAGATAGACAGAATATAAAAACTCTTAGAATTTATAAAAAATTCCAAAATGATAGTGATATAGAACCAATTGAATATTTTGAATATCTAAGTAGTGAATGCAGTAGCATTTATGAATTAAATACATCATCATCAGATGAAGATTATGAGGAGATAATATATATGAATCAAGAGATACAACAATCAGAAATAGAAATAGAAACAACTGAAGAAATTGAAGACTCTATAGAAGGTATAAATCAAGAAATTACCTTTGATATTAAAAAATAAACAGGAATCACTAAGAAAATATTAGACCTACAAGAAAAAGATGTATTCCATCAAGAATTCTTAGGAACATTACCAAAAAGTAAATAAAATAATTGTAAGTATGAATTATAAAGAAATGTCTATAAATATAGAAGATACTATAAGAAAAGCAAGGATTCCTATAATTACAAAAGGATGAGTAAAACAAAAATTATCCAAAATTCCGGAGAACGTAAGAAACAAATTAAAATGTATTGAAATAGGAGGAGTCCAGATAATGGTAAAAGGATTCTTTAGAGAAAGTATGAAGATACCAATTGAAATTTATTGTATGGACAACAGAATTTTACAAGATCTTATAGATGCTCTATTAGGAACAATTGTAGGAAACTTAGTCTATCAGAAGATAATATTTACAGTAAAACCAAATTATGCAATATCATTAAATGATGAAAATATTGACCAAAGTTTCAATCTATATTATAGAATTGAAAACTTGAAAATGTTACGAAAAAGTAAGGCTATTAGTATAAGCATAAAATCAATTTTTGCTTTTAGTACTAGCCATCATAACAATCTAAGGAAAATAACTGATAACATTATCATACATAAAGATTTTGAGGAATTAGCACAATATATGCCTCCTAGGAAATACCAAGAACATGAAATCACTATACCAGAACAGATAATTCTTGATTTCCACAAACAAACTAGAGAAATTAATTTTGAAGGAAAACTAATAATAAGAAATAGTGTCAGTCTAAAAGGAGATAATCTTATTGCAAGATTTCCCTCTAAACAAGACTCTAAGATAAGAAAACTTAAGAATTTAAGTATTGCTGAACCATCAAGTTCGGAATATTATATCAAAACAAGATATGTAAATCAAGAAGGATATAAGAAGAATCTTCTTGTTATCATTGACACTGGAGCAGATAAAAGTTATGTAAATGCTAAATTTGTTAGCCATTTAATAGACTTTGAAATACGAGACCATATATATTTAAGGATTATCTAGGAAATAATCTTGAAATAAGAAAATATGTAAAGTTCCATCTTATACTTATAGGAGAAGATCAGAGAGAATATACTAAAGAAATAATACTATATAAAGATGAATTATATGGAGTTGATCGTTCACCTCTACTACTAGGAATGAACTTTCTTGAAAAATATAGTCCTTATAAAATCTGCCAAGTATATTTAAAAATAACAGTTGATGATAATCCAATCATCATATCAAGAATAGATGAAAATATGAAATCATTGTTATCATGGAAAGAGTAATTTGTATTAATCCAATGAGTCCATATATTGAAATTACACTCAATATAAAAAGTTATTGTAGAATCAAATTTCATGCTTACTTAGATACAGGAAGTACAATAAGCTTATGCTTACCAAATGTACTACCATCTGAATACTGGAAATACAATTCAAAGAAGATTGTCACCTCTACAACAGCAGGTGGAAATAAGGTAGTATACAGCAAATATGATAAGCAAGTATCTTTTCTAATTTCCTTTAGAGAAGTATTTGTTGATACAATATATATGTCAAACACAATTGGATGTGATATTTTATTAGGACAAAATTTTCTATTAAAATATGCACCATTTACACAATATATTGATAAATATATGTTCACAACACCCTGTGCACACAAAATATTTATACAAAAAATAAATAAGGCTGTTACAGTAGCATATAGAGACATAAACCAGCAGAGTTCCTCAACCCAGCGTGGTGGATGTTAGAGTACAAAAAAATTTAAACCAATTACAGTCCTAAAAATGACAATAGAAAATAGGTTAGAACAATTGAAAAAAAAATTAAAACATATTCTGAAAATCCATTAGAAAAATGAAATAAAGACAAAGTAAAGGCAAAAATAGAATTAACCAATCCAGACACTATTGTTAGAGTCAAACCCACGAATTATAGTGTAGATGACCAAAAAGAATTTAAAGATCGGATAAAAGAATTGCTAGAAGCCAAATTAATTAGGCCTAATAAAAGTCCACATAGTAGCCCAACCTTTATGGTTAGAAAACATAGTGAGATAAAAAGAGGAAAAGTCAGAATGGTGATAAATTACAAAAAATTAAATGAAGTTACCAAATTTGATGGTACTACTTGCCAAATAAGGACACCTTTATTAAACAAGTACAGAACAAAAAGATATTTTCAAAATTTGATTGTAAGTCAGGATTTTGGCAAATCATGCTTACAGAAGAAAGTAAGTCATTAACTGCATTTAGTACCCCTAATCTTTTAGGACAATACGAATGGAATGTAATGCCATTTGGGTTGAAAAATGCACCACAGATATTCCAAAGAAGAATGGATGAGGTAATCAAATCAATTACTCATTTTTGTATTGCATATGTAGATGATTTACTTATTCATTCAAATAACATAAAAACGAATGTTGCCATCACCCTACACAATATAACAATGTAACTAAAACATGGAAATCAAATGCATTGATCAATCGAATTAAACGAACCAATAGAAGTTGTGTATATGAGATTGGTACAAGCATGTATTCATTCACCACTTGATGATGTGCTTTTACGATCGGTTCAACCTCTCCCAATTGTTGTCATTTTCGTCAACCTCTTTCGATTTTTCATTGCCCTGCAGTAAAAAAACCAATTATAAGGTTACAACTAATTCACAAATCAAATATTGAATTGAAATCACTATTCTTCTTTTCTTTTTTTCAATTCAGATGCATGTAGTTTTCCTTCTTTTCTTTTTTTGTAATTCCCTATTTCCCCATATATGTGAACAAGCTTAAAGAATAGACGATAAATGTGTGATCTCAAAACATTTAAACTATCCCCAAGTTTTGTAACAGAGTAAGACAAATAACAAATTACAAAAATAATAAAAAGAACAAAAAAAATCACTATTATATCATGTGTAAAAGAACAAAAAATTAACAGATTACTTAAACTTCTTTAAGAACTTCCTAAGTTGTTTGGCAAAAGAGTGAGGAATACAATTAAAATCAATGAAGCCTGTAATAGCTTGAACTTGGAACAAAAAGGTTTCTTACTGGCGAAGCCTCCAAGCCGAAAACAATGAAGACGACGACACCAGCTGCAAGTCGAAACTGCTCTTTCTCTCACCGACGAAACCTTCAAGCCGGAAACGACTACGTCTAAACTGGGCGGTAGGTTTCCAAATTTGGGGGCATTTTCTTCGCAGACAATATACTGATGATTTTTTAATAATCCATCTCTTCTCATAAAAGGTTTTGTTGTCTGATCTGTTATTGTATTTGTTAAACCTGACCCAATAATTTATATGTCAACGTTTTTTTTTTTTTGCTTTAAAAAAATTTTAAAATAGCCACCCTTCCACGTTATCGTGTCATTCAGTAGGTAGAGGAAAAGGTGCAAATAGCAATTCCCAAGTAATAAACCCACTCGTTCACATCCTGCAGCGCAGGTCCCACCCGATTTGATGTATAAAATGAATTCTGACAATTTACAGAGTGGATGCACAGAAAACAAACCGGAATCTTTGCTTTTTGCCCTCGAAAAGTACTGTATTCCTTGATTTTAAAATCTCTATAGGAAACTGCTCCCAATCCACAAGTAGTAGTCGTCGTCGTCTTTAGAGCAGTTATTTCCTTAATTTACGAAGTATTATCCTTTCTGTTCTTCAGTTTATTTCAATTTTAACTCCTGTGTTTTAATAAGAATCAATTTTTTGGGTAAAGAAAGACCCACTAGTTGGTTTTCGTTTTCGGGTACTTGTCTGATGCCGGAAGTGAGGTTGAGTGAGGACGAAGCTGCGTTTCTTTCGATGCATTTGAGAGTTTAGATTGATTGCGAAATGGGTGTTTGATGATTGTGTGAGAGATCCGGAAAATAGGGCATGGAACCCCCAAGGAGATTTTGTGATTCTTTGTGGAACTTCATACGGTTCTTGCCTTACTTCACTGGCCTTCTAATTCTTGGCTTTATCAAAGGTTTGTATCAATTGCCCACTCTTTTTTCTGATTTCTTATGTTAATTAGGGTTTATCTAATGTTTAGCATTCTGACTAGGTATACCTGTTCAGCTGCATATAATTTTCCTGTTCTGTTACTCAGTTGTTTCATTCTTTCTTGTGTGTATTGTTCAAATAAGATTTAGCAATGATTTTGTGTGTTTTGCATTGACTCCAGGGATAGTTTGAGGAATTAATGACATAATTTTTCCGTTTTGTTGCCTTTTACTGTAATAATCTGTGCGTTCATGTCAATTGTAAATTTAAGTTTTCGCCAGTCATTGATTTGGCAAAGTTGTATTTTTTGTATTCCAGGAATTTCTTTCATTCACTTATGTTAAATACTGGAAAGTTTGGTAAACAATTATTTCACGAGACAAGCTGAACTATTGACCGCATAGAAGTTTGTTTGTTACTTTACAGTGTGCTAATATTATTAGCATTCTTCTTCGTTATCTTTTCGTGGTGCATGGCACTGGAAAGGTTTTATTGCTGAATAAGATATCAACTTGATGTGGCTTTCTTCATTTTTGTGCTTCAGGTATCATATTATTCCCATTCATATGTCTTATAATGACTATTGGCATATCTGGAATAATTTTGGGTCTTTGGCCAATACACTTTTCCTATACATGTTATTGCATTTTGAGGTAAGTCCAGGAACATTCCAACTTATGCTTGCTTGTGATATTTATACATTGTCATCGAACTTATATTTATTCTTATTTCAGAACAAAACAATTTGGGCCAGTTTTGAAGGTTCTACTTTGCCTATGTACGGCTGTCATCTCAATTTTATGGCCTCCAGTTGGAATAGCGAGTAGCGTTTTAGGGGGAGCAGCATATGGCTTCCTTGCACCAATGTTTGCCACTTTTCAGGCAGTCGGGGAAAGGAAGAGGGATAAAGTTTATCACTGTATTTGTGTACGTGTAAATTGTATGAAGTCTTGGCACATATTTTCTCTTTTTTTAGTGACTTCACGACACTGATTAGTCTTATCTTGTTTGATCATGCATGCAGGATGGAACTTGGGGTACAGTTGAAGGTAGCTTCACCGTCATTAGGGATTTTATGGATGTTTGTTACCATTCGTACTTTTCAATTATGGATGATCTACTGTCCGAAGGAAAGTATTATGAAATTAGGTTTGTTTATGGTCTTTCTCATTGTGTTCCTTGCTTACTCACTCAGTTGCAAACTCCATTTTTCAGTGCTAGCCAAAGTCTTAGACAAGCATAGAGATATATCTATACGCCCATTTTGAATTAGACATTGTTTTAGTTGTAAGTTTGAGGTTGTTCCAGATTTACACCTAGACAAATGAAAGTAGAAAAAAATAGTTTCCTTCTATTTCAGATATATACCTTGCCATGCATTGTTATGGACTTTTATGTTGGAGGTTCAACTTGTAAATTTTATATAGATCACAGAAGGTTCTGATTTAGTTGATCTTCTATCAATTTTTGCCCTTCTCTTTTTCAGCGTCCTTTGGTTTTGTGTTTCATACATTCCAAGAAAATTTTGTATGTTATCCATGGTTTGGTGTAATATTGTAAAGTTGTTCCGACGGTAACTTTTAGTCTTTTACCATAGCAGTAACCAATTCATATTAATGCAATAAAAAATAATTTCCTAACTTCATTCTAAATTCGGTCCTAATGGATGGAAGATAAAATAACGAACCTAAATGATGAAGGTAGTTTGTTCCATTACCTTGCACTTGACTCTGGTATTCGTTTTTATAATATTTTCTTTCAACTTAATGATTCTTGCTCTGTCTTAATGATTCTTGCTCTGTGTCGCAGGTTGCTCTATCTTCCTTTAGCTCTTGCAATCGGAGTACTTGGAGCTATGGTTGATCTACCAGTGATCTCGATTATTGCGTTCTGCAAAAGCCCTTGCATGCTTTTCAAGGGTTGGCATCGTCTGTTTCATGATTGTATAGGTCGAGAAGGGCCATTCTTGGAAACAATATGTGTGCCATTTGCAGGACTAGCAATTTTACTCTGGCCATTGGCCGTTGTTGGGGCGGTTTTGGGTTCCATGGTTTCAAGTATCTTCTTGGGCGCTTATGCAGCTGTAATAGTGTATCAGGTTGAATTGCCTTTAAACTACCCCAGGGGAAAAAATGAGAAATAAAATCGTTTACAAAAGCAAAAAATACAAAAATTCTCTTGGGAAAAATCCAGTAGATTTGCCGCACCAATTTTCCATTTCAATTGCATTTGCTACCGCTAAAATTTTGGTGTTTGCTTTTGATGGTAGGAATGCTCTATTTGGTTTGGACTTTGTTATATTACCGCTTCATTGTCCATTTACGACGAATACAGCAATGATGTTCTAGACATGGCTGAAGGATCCTGCTTCCCTAGGTTCTGACTTTTGCCTTGCATTATGCTTAATACATGTTATTCTTCAGAATATCGACTAATAATCGGCTACTGGATGACATCGTCTATGTGCCATTCCTGCAGACCACGTTACACGAAGAAGGCTCCATCACAAACAAACTCTCGTTCCACTTCTTTCTCAAGGCCCAGCTCTTTCAAAAAGCCACCATCTCGTACAACTTCTCTTCCTGCACCTATGATTGAGTTGAAGCCCCTCGAGGTATGCTTACTGGACAGCACAATAAATTTTAGCTTCTTTTTCTATGTTAATGCGGTCTAATGCTTCTATTACACCTTAGCAAATTATAGTTTGTGAAGCAATGGCAATATGTGATGTAACATTTATTTCTCGTATTGGCACTGATGAGCACTATGATTGTTGTAGTTAGCCGATTCCTTATTCGAGGAGTGTCAACGCCATGGGGAAATTATGGTTTCTAAAGGGATAATAACCCTAAAAGATATTGAAGATGCTAAGAATAAGATAGGAAGTGGAAAGGTGATAACCATTGGTTTACCTGCTTATTGCATTTTCCAGGCACTTCTGCACTCTGTAAAATCTAATTCCACTGGTATATTGTTAAGTAAGTGGTAGCTGTCCTTTAATCCTTATTGAGTTTTCCCATCTCAGTAGTCCATGCTGTGTTGAGGAAGCAATTCTTGTAAAATTTTTCTCCCTCGTGCAGATGACAATACAGAAATAACTACCTCAAATCGGCCAAAGGATACATTCTTCGATTGGTTTCTTAATCCACTATTAATCATTAAAGACCAGATTAAAGCTGACAACCTTTCTGAGGCCGAGGAGGAATACCTTGGCAGATTAGTCTTATTGAGGAGCGATCCTGCACGGTTAAAGAATACAAATATCGGCCCACCACCTGAATCTGAGCTAAGACTAGCTGAACTTGATGCATTAGCTCGAAGGTGAAAGTGAATTTTTTTTTTTCTGTTACTGTAATTTATGATTTTTCTCTCAGTTCTAATTTCCATTTCTTTGTTCTTTCATCAAGACTTCAAGGGATAACTAAGTCTATAACAAGATATCCAACATTTAGGCGCCGTTTTGATGAAAGTATGGAAATCATTTTACAAGAGCTCGTTAAGAAGAACGGCGAGAACTCAAAATCGAGGGGCAGTAGGCCTCAAACAGTTCCCAGGTCAAAAAGCATGTTCGCTCGGATATTAAGCCAGGAGTCTTTTAACAGCAGAAAGGACAACTCGGGTTCTGATCAAGAGGCTCAAACAGTTGTCCAAAGAGATGTAGAAATTGGATAAAGAGATGTACCTAGTTAGAAACAATCATGCTATGCTAACATAAAGGTTCGACATAATGACACACGACATTTTATCATTGGACAGTTTAAAACATAGCCAGCTTTTTCATCAAATCATATGTTGCCACATGCAATTATATCAAGCTTTTTGTCAAATTTTTCTGGCGAAGTAGCTTTATCCAGTTAGAAACATGTCTGTAACTTCTTGTTGTATCAGTTGCTGTTTGTTTTGCTATTGGTAGATGTTTCTCCTTTGTAATTTTCATACTGACTCCTATATTTTCGAGGTTTTCGTAGATAGTATATGTCTCCTTTATTGATTGAATTGTAAATCTGTTTCTGCCTTATCCCCTTATGTTGCTATAAATAGAGAATGTAACAGAAATGGTGGGTGTGGGTCTGAACCAAACTAAAAAATTCTTGAATTGGCGACGGCAAATAGTAATGTCGACTAGCAGAGCCAGTCCTGTGGTTTCTTGGGCCTGAGGCGAACTCTATAAGTTAGGCCCCCCATTAGTTTTACATGACATATTTTTAGCAAAACATAAACCTTAAAGTATAGCTCAAAAAAAAAAAAAAAAAACCATTGAGAATGAAATCGTCCTAAGCCTCCAGCAGACAAGCTCACAAACAAAACACATATACAAATAAATAGCAAAACATGGTTAACTAATAATTATAAAAAAAATCATGAAAATGGAATTGAGCATACCTCAATTTCTATCGTTCTTTCCTCCGGTAGAGCCATCCACAGAGAATTAGAAATATTGGAACTTCACTTCTTGAAACATTCTCCCAGTTGTAAGATTTGAAAAGAAAATGGTATTCTAGCCTTTGTTGCCATATTTGATTGTTCATCTGATTGAATTGAACTATCAATTTGTTCGATCTCTTGAGAATTTCTGACGTATTGACAAATCTCATAAACCTGAATACAATAAAAAAAATTCAAGAAAAGAGAAAACTACTCCTACAAACATACAGAATTAATTAACAGAATAAAAACAAAAAACCCAGATAGACATATAATTGATAGAAATTTAGTACTATACCTTTCTAAAATGGCTTTATCGAACCAACCGACCAAGAAACATCCACTTTTATTTTTGATCAGATTTGAACAGACCTATCGCTAATTTCTCATAGTTATTCGAGCATCACTAAATATCTTATGGAGGGTTTAAAAAAAAAATTCAGAAAAATGAATAATTTGTCAAGTATCCCTTATTACTCTCTAGAACTTTAGATATCCAAAGAAAGTGCACTTAAACCGCTTCTTTTGGAAGTCAATTGGCATGAAATTTATATTTCTAATTACATTTCAATGGTAAACATACATAACAATGCTGCAATGGAACCAAAAAACTTGAGCTATCCATACAAATTACTTACACTTAATGCAAGCAAACCACACATTACAACAACTCCCAAATTTGCAATAACCAGTAGACCATGAAACAATTTACATCAACAATCTTGAGCCATCTAATTCACGATAAAGAAGCCCCGAAATCAAATATCACCCATTGATCGGATACCAAGAAACATTCCCTAACTAAAAGCCATAGGCAATTAACGAAATCATGGTTTTCAATTTCTAAGGTAGCCAGCTATTCACATATTAAAATGTTAATCCCAATAAACAAAAATCCCAAATGAAATAGCTCTAAAATTATAGTTGTAGCAAGCCACAAAAATAATCAATAAATATGTACAAAAAAATTAAAAAATCGATACATACCTGTTGTGCAATTTTTATATGTTGTTACTTCTTTTTCCCGTGTTTTGAGGTAGAATTTCTCATTTCGTGCACTAGCAAAGCTCCTTTCAATTGTCGAGGATGATATAACTATAGCTGATTTGAACAGACCTATCGCTAATTTCTCATTATTTTTACCAACGAAAATCACAAGGTCGGCGTTCAATTTCAGTGGCGGGAGAGAAACTGAGAAAGAGCCATAGGGTTTTAACTTTGCTTTAACCATTTCACAATACAAGATATGGGCCTCATTTAAAATAAATAAGAAGCCCAACACAAAAGGCTTACAAGTTAACATTTGGACTTTAGAAAATGGAGGAAATTAAAAGTTGGCCCAATTATAATACTCATCATCTTCCCTTCCTTTTGAATTCAAGTCTGCGTTCAAGCTTCTGCAATAATGGCGGCTCCATCCAACCTCGATGTTTCCAGCAAGGAATGATTTCCAGAATATTCTTCAACTTCCCAGCAGCCATAGGCGAGTTGGAGAGGAAAATGATTCATTCATTCAATTTACTTTCTTCATTTAACAGAAAAAAAAAAAAAAAACTGAGGCCATGGAAACGAGGCCCCCTTCAGCTTTTGGCCTGAGGCGCAGGCCTCATCTGCCTCGCCTCAGGACCGGCCCTGTCGACTAGAATGGTGTTTTAGCATCAATAGTGATGAATATATTACTCTTTCTCAACTCAATGCCAAGCTCGTCTGGGAGTGTTAAAATTGAAATTTACATACTAGATTTTATTCTTTTATAAAATTAGTGGATGAAAAGTGGATGGCAGTTAAAGATTTTATTGAAATTATGGATACTTCATACGTTATCCATCTTTCATTTCGTACAATTAAGCCATTTAACTTTGATTTGCTCATAATAAATTAACGCAGTGTCACAAATTGATGTTGAATGACTTGACTGGTCAAATATGATCCAATGAACACCACTAAAAGTTTGTTGATCCACGGTGCACTGATCCCATAATTGTCTTGAGCTCAAGCCTCGTACAAATTAATTATATATTCATAAATAATTATTTTTTAATCAAAATATTTTTTTTTCCATGATTCCATGAGTTGACCAAGTAAACAAGTTTCGCCTGAAATTTACCTCCCACTCGGCCACGTCTATCCCAATAACTGACTCTAAACTGCAAAATTCCACTGCACGAACTGTTTTTTAAATTGACAGTACCACATCAAAATCCATTATTCTCTACAAGTTTTCTTCAATAGCTCCTTTTGCATCCAACTCAAAGGAAATCTTTATATTTCAACTCGAAAAGNAATCCATTATTCTCTACAAGTTTTCTTCAATAGCTCCTTTTGCATCCAACTCAAAGGAAATCTTTATATTTCAACTCGAAAAGATTTGGAGAAGCTTCAAATGGCGTCTTACTCCATGAATTTCACAACCCAAATTTTCCTTGCATTGACAATCCTCTCATCTCTTCATGTTTTGCAAGTATCTTGCTTAGAATTTCGAGTCGGAGAGCGAAACGGTTGGGTCGTCCCTCCTGCAAATGAAACCAAACTCTACAATGAATGGGCTTCCAAGGAAAGGTTCATCATTGGAGACACAATTCGTGAGTTCTCTAATATGTTTGCATGTTTACTATACAGTATTTGACAGTATTAAGAAATAAATTTGCGTTGGTTTTCAGGTTTTAAATACAGGAAGGATTCAGTAATGGAAGTCACTGAATCCGAGTACAAGAACTGCAACTCAACACGGCCTAACTTCTTTTCCAATACTGGGAACACAATCTTCACCCTTGACCGCTCTGGATTTTTCTACTTCATAAGTGGAGCAACTGGGCACTGCAGAAAAGGGCAGCGAATGATCATAAGGGTTATGGCACAAGATCAAGATTCAAGTTCTTCTGCAGGTTGCAGAAATATTGCTGTGATCACCTATTATGGACTACTTTTTTTACTAATTAGTATTCAGTTTGTGGCCTAGCTACCTTTCTTTAAATTTCTTTAGGGTTATTAGTTTTGCTTACTGCTACAGAATATTAGGATTGTCTTGTTTTATTCATCCACCATATGATGTTTCTAACTTCTAACATCCTATTTATTGACAATGCATTGATGTATCTTTACTCGTTCTCGATTTACTTTAAATATGTGAAGTTTCCATAGTTTTTAGGAAACAAAAACAAATGAAAGATTAGCAATCTCCATCTCACATCATCATCTTTGCTGTCTTCATGACTACTCAAGTGCATATAACCCTTCCAATTAAGCATGTTTTTTGGAAGTATTTATAAGAGGTTTCGATCATAAACAAAATAGAAATAACGGGTGAATAAGTGAATAAAATTTGTGGGTCGTGAATAAAAAGTATTGAGTGTTTATGAACGCAAGCTAAACAAAGGTGATTGCTCCCATAGTGCAACAAAATAAAGTAGATAGATCAATGGGTGTCACTAATAATCGACCGACTCTTGAAACTTCTTATTATCTAGTATCTAAATCCTCGGCTATCAATAGTGTAAAAATATTCCTTGGTACCAAGCTTAACAAGGTAGGTTATCCAAAGCAAATCTTGAGGGGTATGTCTCATTCTTGATTTGCCTCCATAGGCTAGTCACCACGGGATTCTTATGTGGCATCAGTCCACATCCCATAGGTGACCCTACTTTAAAACTCCATGTAAGGAGAGAAACTTCAATGGGGTGATCGACCACGTGGATGGTGCGACCGCCCAATGCGAGACGCCACCTCGGCGGGTGACCCACATGCCTCGGGGGTGTGTAGTGGGCCACCCACCGAGGTGGCGCATCTTGATAGTGTTGTGACCGCCCTATTGAAATTTCTCTCCGATGTAAGATGGAGACGAAAATATACAATACTTGAACTATTTATGTAGATGCAACAGTTATCATTTTTCAAAAGTTACAGGTGATCTAATAACAACAAATAACAATTTAGCATGCGCATAGTCAAGTTTCATACATGGATATCAGCTAGAAATCAGCTGATTAACTGGAAAACAAACTCCCCACAAATTCAGTGCCTCAATAATTCACGCTATCAAATCTTCCCAGGTTACACTAGGAGCTGCTAACATAGATAAAAACAATTAGATACCCTTCTCAAGCATTGCCCGAACCCGCATTGGCAATCCATAGAGTCGAATAAACCCGGCAGCATCAGCTTGATCATAGATTTTCCCACTCTCAAATGAGGAGATATCTTCCCTGTACAAACTGTATGGACTCTCTCTCCCGGTTACATTTACACTGCCTTTGAACAGTTTGAGAGTCACGGATCCAGTGGTGGTTTTCGTGATTTCCTTCATGAAAGCATCCATCGACTCACGAAGTGGATCAAACCATCGGCCAGCGTAAACTAATTCAGCATACTTGAGGGCAAGTATATCCTTGATTTGCATTGTTTCGCGATCAAGTGTGAGAGACTCTAGTTCACGAATGGCAGTGAAGAGAATGGTTCCGCCAGGAGTTTCATACACCCCACGACTTTTCATTCCAACAAGACGATTTTCAACCATGTCTACACGGCCAATTCCATGCCTCCCTCCGACCGCATTTAGCTCAGAGAGAAGAGATGCCGGGGAAAGCACCTTTCCATTTAGTGAAACAGGGAGTCCGTCAGTTATCCCAATTTTAACATACCTACATAAAATTAAATCATTTGCAAAGACCGACACCCAATATTTAACAGAAAAGCACAAGTGCATAGAAGAAACTCACTCCGGTTGATTGGGTGCATCTTGTGGGTCAACGCTCATCATGTACATGTCCTCCTTTGGCTCATTTGCAGGGTCCTCCAATATATCTCCCTTTAATGAAAATAAAAACAATATAGAAGAATAATCTAAGCCAAAGAACCATATCAACTTTCTGGTTAGATAGCCACTACCATAACAATACGAAAATCAAACATGGTTTCCCTGTCTCTGGACAGCAAAGTGAATTGCTTCGGTAATGTACGTAAAGGTAAGAAAATGGATATAATGACCGAGAATCTTAACATGAATCACGATATTTTAATCTAATTCCACAGGAAAATTACAAACAAGAGGAATATATAGTTTATGAATTGCTGGAATAGTTCAACATATTATTTATTCGCTTTTCTTCTCGCAAAGGTTAAATGTAGTATTACCTCATGACTCAGGTGCCACAGGTTTCTATCTCTGCTATAAATGGATTTCTTTGTCACTGGAACAGGCACATTGTGTTTTTTAGCATATTCAATAGCATCTTCTCTTCCAGTTATTTCCCATTCCCTCCAAGGAGCAACAACATTGAGTTCAGGATTCAGAGCAAAGAATGTAAGCTCAAACCGGACCTGCAATGATAAAGAGGGCTAGGAATGTTCATAAAATTAAAACAAAGAAGCTACGGAATCAAATCGGAAGGCACAAAAAGAGGCTTAGAAGAAGAGGAATATTCAAGAAAATTCTGAAGCATGCCTGATCATTTCCCTTCCCCGTGCATCCATGAGAAACAGCATCGGCTCCAACTTCTCTGGCAACATCAACCATGGCCTGCCAATTTTGGTGCATTAGAATATACAACCAACACAAAAAGAAACGCATAATATTCTGTGCCAAAGGACCAACAAACATCCAACCATTAGCTATCATAAAGTCAAATTTTCATTTATATGATCTTTGAACTACACCTTCGCAATAACAGGGCGAGCCATTGAAGTCCCTAGCAAGTACTTCCTCTCATAGATAGCACCAGCCCGCAAGCAAGGAAATATAAAATCTCTGACAAATTCCTCTTTCAAATCCTTCACCACTAGTTGAGATGCCCCACTAGCCTTGGCCTTCTCTTCCAAACCTTCCAACTCTTGAAGCCCCTAAAATGATTAGCAACTGATTAATACGCATTACTGTTTACTGCTCTATATTTTAACTTCCTCTGCCTATAAAATCTAAACATGAAACTATGCATATTTCAAAGAGAACTCTACACAAATAATTTTTAGCATATGCCAGTTTATAGATTCTGATTTTTGACATACTTGACCAACATCTGCAGTGAAGCAAACAACCTCACAGCCATAATTCTCCCTGAAATATACAACACGGTCAACAAAGATACAACGCTCTGAATAGAAAAGGAAGGTAATAAAGCCCAAAACGAGAAATCAAATTATGTAAAATGTAAGTTTTTGAACATATCAACAATCATGAAGATGTATGAGCAGAAAAGCTATTTATAACAATGAAGCATATACGTACATTCAATAAATCAGATGCAACTCCTCGTCAGATATCCACTCGACGACAACTATCTCTCAAAACTATAAATAAATAAAATATGAGCCTCTACTCATTTATTCTTACAATCTTAGAACTGCCAATTGAGATGTTTATGTATATTGGTTGACACGTCTACTAGAGCTTTCAATAGACCAGTAGAAGAATTTTAAGGGATAACAAAACAACATCTGATCAAATCATCTTATACATTTTAAAAAAGAAAGAATAGAGAATGCANTGAGCAGAAAAGCTATTTATAACAATGAAGCATATACGTACATTCAATAAATCAGATGCAACTCCTCGTCAGATATCCACTCGGCGACAACTATCTCTCAAAACTATAAATAAATAAAATATGAGCCTCTACTCATTTATTCTTACAATCTTAGAACTGCCAATTGAGATGTTTATGTATATTGGTTGACATATCTACTAGAGCTTTCAATAGACAAGTAGAAGAATTTTAAGGGATAACAAAACAACATCTGATCAAATCATCTTATACATTTTAAAAAAGAAAGAATAGAGAATGCAACATTAAATCATAGAAAAATTAAAGTAAAAAGATAGAGTAATCGATGTACCTAAGCCAAGGTACAATTACAGAGGTATCTAAACCACCACTATAGGCCAGAACCACTTTGTTCAACTTCCCGCGCAAAACTTTTCCGTCCATAGCAGAAGTCACTGGCTCAGTATTACTTGCCATAACTGCCTGGATAACTGCATCATTTTAACAAATTCATTAGAGCAATTAAACAAAACCAACTAAAACATAAGAGATGCTAGAAAGTATTTGCTATTAAGATTTGAAGTTTCATCCTAAAAAAGTCAATCTTATTAAGAGGAGTAGCACATATTAAAATTTGGGGTTCTATATTAAAAAATCAATCTTATTAAAAGGAATAGCCCAAACCCTTATAAGTTGGTCTATATTTTCATCTTTATTAGACATGGAATTTATTCCTTAACATTTGCAAGGTGCTATGGATAGAATGCATCAACATAAATTCACTAAGCCCCTATTTGGTGAAAATTAAAATCCACATTTTAATCTAAATCAAAATCAATAATTGATTTCAACCCCATATTTCATGAGGTCCACAACTTTTCAACCACAAGTTCTATCAACTTTTATCAAAATATAATTCAACGTAGAAACCATCCTCAATTTGTCTCCCAAAGCATGCTAATGGAAGCTTATTTGGGGAGCATAAATCATGATTGTTCATTTTCCAAATCATTCGCACTCAAAATGTCTACAAGCCATTAAAAGGATACGGGAAAAAGAAAACCAGTTCAGGTCAAGAGAGATTCAACAAAATGTAAATTTTTAGCTTAAGAAATGATGAATTTTTTAGGAGCATGCAGATTATTGAGTCTACAAGTAACTTCAAAATAGAAAATAAAATGCAGATTATAAAACAAAACTGGTGTAAGAAAAAAAATTAACTAAAGCCATTCATTCCAGTTGATAAAAACCTTTTTCCTAATATTTGACCACCCTGGCGGCAAAATTAAAATTGGAAATTAGGAATCAATCAAGAAAAAGACATGAATAAAACAAGTGGAAGCATTGAGAGGTAAGGCTGGTACCTAGTTTGTTACAGGCAAGACCAAAGTTAGTACTCGTATGAACAATGGCATGACCACAAAACTCACTCGCTTTCACCCCCAGCTGGCATTGCAAACAAAAAGACTCTCAATATTGACTCCCATTAAATCATTCATAAAAGACCAATTTGAATAGTGCTATTTGAAATACCTCTTCCAACGAAGCCTTTCTTGAACAGTGAATTTTATCATAAGTTCGAGCTGGTTCTATATAGAATAAGTTAATCAAATTCATTACCAGGAAAATAGGAAATTTTATGCGTACAGCTGGTATTTAGGGTACCTTTTCTGGAACCATGGAAAAGAAGATTGGTGGAAGAAGACGAAGAAAATGCTTTTAATTGAGCCATCCTCGTATGACTGATACAGGGTATTTTGATTTATCAAACTTCTTCAAATTATATAGATAACAAGAATACTTAAAAAATAAAAAATAAAAACCATCAATCAACACTCTAAACCCACTAAAATATAACCCCATTAACATAAAAGCAGCCAAATCAAAATCCAACCCAATTAACATAAAACCAACCAAATCAATTAGTGACCAACATGCAATGCAACAAGAAAATAAACATTCAATACCAGGGGCGGAGCCACCTGTGGTCTAGTGGGGCAACTGCCCCTACTGGATTTTGGTCCTGGGTATTTCATCTATTACACTTGAGGGACAGCCAGTTTTTAAGGCAATGGAAAACGATAAACAACCGCATCAAAAATTCAAGAGAAGCATTGTTGAAAAAACCACTGCTGCTAGAGAAAGATTGCCATCAAGAAACAACAATTCTGGAAAAATTAAATAAATCATAAGTAGTTGAGTTCAAATTAAATGATTCACAACAAACAAATCGAGTCGATTTCAACATCAACATATGAAGCCCGTTTTAACACTAATACAATCCTATATTACCTTCAAAGTTCGGTGGTGAAGAAGTTGAGGGGAAATGATTGCAGCGGTGCCGACGGGGTGATCACGTGATGTACATGTCCCAATTTTTAATTTAATACCGTGAAAGAAACCTAGGCCTCTCTTCTCCGTTTGCTAAACAGACATGGGTTATCTTTTCATGGGCCTGTCTTTCAATTGGGCTTTATAAATATTTTCCAAAAAATTCATGTATAATCAAGAAATACTATACTTTAATTTATATATTATAACTACTATACATCATAGAAAAGTAAGCAAAAAATACTTAAAATTTTTTTGTAACTGAACCATAAATAATCAAAACTTACTAAACATTCTTCTAAAATTAAGCAAAATTAATGACATCTCACAATTACTCTAATTTAAATGAAACTAATTAACAGCCAATAAATTATAATCAAATTGACTATTTCTTTTTTAAAATTGAGTCCATTAAATTACAAGTCTTCAAATTCAAAAACCCATTTTGTTCAAATCAATTTTAGTCGAGAAACGTGGAATCGAATTTGTTGATAATAAAGCTCTACCGTTTATTTCAAAGATAATACATTTTGCTAGAAAGCTATTTTTTTTTTTTTTTTATTATTATTATTGGCATCTTCCTTTGGGTTGGAAACATTGTTATTCACAAATTTACTTTTAAAATTAGATCAAATAAATTTCGGACAATAAATTAGTACCAATGTGATTACAATTAGAAAGCATGTTTGTGATACATTGTTGAAATAACTTTCTATAACATATGTTCAACTGGATAGGTGATATTATAATAAACCAGAATTCAAAATGGATAAATAATCACAAGATGCCATAGAGTCATGGGATATGTTATATTATATATTTTAATATCAGTATATTATGAGTTTTTGATTGCCGTATGTTCTGCAACTTCTAACTTCTTCTGAAAGCTATTAAGTACTCGTGAATTGCGGTGGAAGATGTTCCAAATAAATAATGTCAAAAAGAGGTGTTCGATATCATAAAAAGATTTTCTATTTGGCCTTGTTCGCCTTCTTCACATTCTTCATACTACTAACCATCCTAACCTTCCTCGAAACGCTATCATGATACATTTGAACATGTTTAATCTCACGTCAAAATTGTTCGCTAAAATCATATACCGCAAGTGCACAAATCACTTTCAAGTAATAAAGTGGACCTTTTGAATCCAAGTATCGTCCCACAGAGATTGTATTAGTTTAAATTTAAATTATCTTCGCCTTAACCGAAACAATAGAAATTCATGATTTTTCGCTAACTAAATTATGATTTAATAACTTACTTATAAATATAAAGTCTAAGTTAACTAAACTAAATGCGTGATTATAATTAAATGCAAGTTTTATAAAAATATGATAAATAAATGCGTATTAGGATCCCGAATCTCTTTTAATCCGAATTTTATAAACTATTTAATTAATTAATATATCACAAAATTATTATAAGGTGGTCGCAAATAAGACTCTATTTTTTTAAACTTTTTCACAAGTTTCTTAATTTTGAAAGTATATCTCGAAACCTTTGGAATTGTGTGTGTGTGTGTGTGTATATATTGGCATATTTTCCCCAAAGGAGAATATAACATGCTGGCCTTTTATTGAATTCTAATTCTTTTCTCACATGGGCCTCAACCAGTTATGTAAAAAAAATTTAAAAAACATAAAGATCAACAGAATACTTAAACTTTACTTTTGACGTATTAGGTGATTAAAAAGTCTAAGTTTAAGCTCCATTAAAATAAAATCATATTTTCCCCAAAGGAGAATATAACATGATGGCCTTTTATTGAATTCTAATTCTTTTCTCACATGGGCCTCAACCAGTTATGTAAAAAAATTTAAAAAAACATATAGATCAACAGAATACTTAAACTTTACTTTTGAAGTATTAGGTGATTAAAAAGTCTTAGTTTAAGCTCCATTAAAATAAGGTTTGGGGAGGGGGAAATGTTTTTTGAAATAGTGATTTTTTGGAGAATGGTAGTTATAAAAATTAGGAGATGTTTTAAATTTACGTGTGACATTATTTTATGTGAATATATATAGTTGAAAATGAGTTTTGAAAGATGCATTTGAAAAAATGGAGCCCAAACTAGGGCTAAAAAATTATTGAATTAGATAATTAGGAATTTAATTCGAAAGTTTCATAATTTTTTTTTTATTTCTGAAATTGTTTCCATAATTATGATAATTTAATGATATGTTCTCTTTTTTATTACTACTAGTTTTTCGCCCGTGCAATGCACGTGCTATTTCATTTTTTATGTAATATTAAGTTATTAACGTGTCAAAATATCTATTCAATTCTCTCAGTAAATCTACAAATTTGATTAATTGTTTAAAATGATAAATAGAAATGTAATCTTCATATATAACACACTTTTGACATTAAAAAAAAAATTTTATTAGGAAATTTTCTAAATGACGTCAAAATTTTTATTAGATTATTTAAACAAATTAATTGATTGAGAGAAAAAAGTAACAATAAGAAAAAAAATTCTAAAAACAATCAAATTTCTTTTATATATAAAAAATTTTTAGATGTTAAAATATTAAGATGAAAAATTAGTTGGCCTCAATTTTGTGTTGCTATAATTGAAATGTGTTTTTTGGGGATAGGATAAATGTTTCCTTGATGCATGGATTAAAAATCAAAATTATTGGAGCTCATAAATAAAACATTATTTTAGTTTGAGTGGTTATTTTACATATAAATGACTTATTTGATAATAATTATGTTCAATATAATTAAATCGTGTAATTAGTCGAATCTTTTTTTTATTGTTCAATATCCAATAATTTTAATGAATTTTTTCATTTACGTATAATATTATTTTATGGAAGATTCTGTGATTAAAAATAAAAGAGAGAAAAATGAGAAAAAAATTTAATAGAGCCAAACACTAGCTGAGCCACAGTATAATATTTTGTCACTTAAATGGAGTTAAGATTTTTATTTAATCACTCAATTTTGATATATTTGAATTTAATCCTCCAAAATTTATATACATTTAAAATATTTAATATCGCTAAATAAATTAATGACATCTTTTTGATTGAGTATTAATTTTTTTCAACATTGTGTTAAGTTTTACTTTGATTTATCGCAACTACTTTTAAGAAATAAACAATATACATGATTTAATATACTCCGTGTTACATTATATAAGGGTAAAATAGATTTGTAAAAAAAATATATCAATCATCAAGGAAAAACGGAAATTATATTGATAAAATTGTCGCAAAAAAATTATAAATATTAATAAAATAATTAATTTTTTTTAAAGAAAAAGGATGAGTTATACATATTTTTTAACACACACGCTTGATATACGTTCAACTATTTTCGATATTCATTTAGATCATTTGATGTATATATTATATAATTCTCGAAATGAATTTCGAGAGAATATAGAATATTTATAAAGATTTATGATATATTTTTATAAAAAAAAACTAAATAAATCACCTAATGAAAATAAAAATAAAAATTGACATGTACATCATCTTAATAAAAAAAAAAAAAAAGAGTTGCCTAACGAAGCAACTCTGTTCATCACGAAGCAAAAATGCTCCTGGCACCCAGGATGCCAGGAGCAAAATTGCTCCGTGATGCACGGAGTTGCTCTATTTTTTATTTTTTGTCAAATTTTTTTTTACTAATTTATTTATTTAGTTTTTAAAAATCTACCTTAAATATTCTATATTCTCTCGAAACTCATTTCGAGAATTATATCATAAATACATCGAATGATCTAAATGAATATCGAAAATAGTTAAACGTATATCAAACATGTGTGTTAAAAAATGCGTATAACACATCTTTTTTTTTAAAAAAATAATTATTTTATTAATGTTTATTATTTTTTCGCAACAATAATTTTTGACGTTATTTAGAAAATTTCCTAATAAACTTTAAAAAAAATTTAATGTCAAAAGAGACATCATTTAAAAAATTAAGAATTTCGATAACATGATGCCAGGAGCAAAATTGCTCCGCATCTCCGTGATGCGCGGAGTTGCTCTATTTTTTATTTTTTGTCAATTTTTTTTTACTAATTGATTTATTTAGTTTTTAAAAATTTACCATAAATCTTCTATATTCTCTCGAAACTCATTTCGAGAATTATATCATAAACACATCGAATGATCTAAATGAATATCGAAAATAGTTAAACGTTAATCAAACGTGTGTATTGAAAAATGCGTACAACACATCTTTTTTTTAAAAAAAATCAATTACTTTATTAGTGTTTATTATTTTTTCGCAACAATAATTTTTGACGTCATTTAGAAAATTTCCTAATAAACTTTAAAAAAAATTTAATGTCAAAAGAGATAGCATTTAAAAAATTAAGAATTTCAATAACATGCTAATTTTATAAATTCATCGAAGATTGTACGATAGTCGAATGCATAAATTTTCTATGTTCTCTCGAAACTCATTTCGAGAACTATATCATAGACGCATTAAATGATCTAAATGAATATAAAAAATAATTAAATGCACATCAAACGTGTGTTTTAAAAAATGCATACAACTCGTCTTTCTTCTTTTAAAAAAAATTTCAATTATTTATTAATGTTTATTATTTTTTTGCGACAATTTTTATAATAAAAATATTATGTGGTATAAAACACAAGATCAATTATCCAAAGAAAAAAAATTGTTGTACCCGTCAGCAAATCATTCTATAAAGTCAACAACGACAGCAATAATGTTACCATATTTCATTATTATTTCCAGACAAACTTTTTTTTTTTGTGAAGAATAGTGCATAACGAGTTCAACTACAGTATAAAATCAGTTTAGTGTGAAACCGCTGCCTCAGGTTGAATAGTAAACGTTAGATCTTCTCTTTTAAAGTAAAGGGGATATAAAAGGGGAGTGAATCGTTAATTTGATTTGTACTGGGAAAAAAATTATTATCTTTCCATTTATGTGATTCAAAGAGAATTTGTGATCACAACTCCACATAGGGAATGAAAAAACTATACGAGCCATTACTGTATGATGCTAAATATCAAGTCAAATATCATTGTGGTCACCTCTGAAACCATTTTAGACAACATGATATGAAAGGGGATATTAG